CTGATGATGGCTTACACGAGTTTTCGGCCAACCCGATTCAATCTCGTGAGGACGAAACTCTGCACGGGGGGGGGGGGAGGGGGGGGGTGACCATATCACAAATCGGGCAAATGAACGTGTTCGGTCGCACGCTCATGGCGAGCAGGACAAACTTAATGTACGAACCCGACCCGTGTTCCTCGTGGCGCTTGTTGCGCTTCGCGTGTATCGGAACGGGAATAAGGGCGGCGGAATAGGGTGACAGGAGTGGGGCTAGGATAGCGACAAGGGCTGTTGCAACCCGATTTATTGCCACAGGGAGCAAGCAACACGTGAGAGTAGAAACACGTGCACAGGTGGGTAATGAAACACAGCTGTAGCTAACTCATCAAAAATATATCCTACTGTAGTTCTTCGTGGATAAAGACAGGGATTGATTCGCTGTGTCGTTGAAAGACAAAACAAACAAACAAACAAACACTCGCAGGGAGGTGAAGACGCCCTGGTGCTGTAGCAGTCTACGCAGTAAAAAAGATTAAGCAAACATATGGGATAAGGTATTGAATCCGTGCTTTGGGGTTAGGGTTAGGGTTAGGGATAGGGTCTGCGTGTCCCCTCCCTATTCTTTTTCTAGATACTCTTAAAATCCTGCGTAGGTGGTCCTCGTGCCGACACTCGATGTCTGCTCCTGCCTCAATCAACAAACAAACAAACCACCAGCACTCACAGGGCGGTGAAGAAGCCCTCGTGCCGAAACTCGATGTCCGCTCCTGCCTCAATCAACACCTGGACAGTCTCGACGGAACTCTGCTGCGCCGCGATGAAGAGGGGCCGACGCTGGTCCAACGTGCTAACCTCTACACTGACCCCTCTCCTGATCAGCTCCGACACGATCTTTGGGTGTCCGTACTGACGAAACAGTGACGAGGGTCGGGGTGAGGAGGTATGCGTACAAGGTGGGAATCATCGCAGGTAGAGGGTGATGTTGGCCACCTGGTCCACTATCGCCTGACAGCAGAGACAGACGACGACAACGAGTCATAGTCACGTGCCGGACTACACGTGGGCTACCCTAGGTTTGCTTAAGATGCCACACCTAACCACTGGACCGATTTTCAAAGCTCGACTACTCCACGACGAAGAGGGCACCGAGAAAAAAATGGTACTTTGTTTTTCAGCAGAGACAGACGATGACAACGAGTCGTAATCACGTGCCGGACTACACGTGGGCTTCCCTAGGTTTGCTTAAGATACCACACCTAATCACTGGACCGATTTTCAAAGCTCGACTACTCCACGACGAAGAGGGCACCGAGAAAAAAATGGTACTTCGTTTTTCAGCAGAGACAGACGATGACAACGAGTCGTAATCACGTGCCGGACTACACATGGGCTTCCCTAGGTTTGCTTAAGATACCACACCTAATCACTGGACCGATTTTCAAAGCTCGACTACTCCACAACGAAGAGGACACCGAGAAAAAAATGGTACTTCGTTTTTCGGAAAGCTCTTGACGGGACGGTTTTTCCTTCCAACGCCGACATTTTGCTGCACCTTCACCGTCTTTCTTGCCGAAAAATAGAGTTTTGAAAATCGGTCCAGGGCGGTGTGATATCTTACGCAACGTACTGTGCTACTACACCCATGTGTCGATGGTGCCCCTCCCTCCCACGCGAGGCTACCGTACACAACACGAGACTCTGTCTCCACGACGCTGCTGGTGTTAGACATGAAAGGAACACCTCGTACCCTAGCGGCTACGTGGATGCAGTTGTCTCCATCGCAGTAGGCCAGCGGATCCGCTCCCGCGTCGATCAGGAGCTTGACCATGCCCAGGCGACCGGCGGAGGTGGCCAACCCGAGAGGGGTGTGGTCGCCCGACCGCAGGACTTGGTTCAAGCTGTGGCGCCTGAAGCCGGGTTTCCCGATCATCCGGCGAACGTCATCCTCGGACTTGGTGAGGATGGCGACGCCCAGCAAATCGCCGCTGTCCATGCTGACGCGCCGTTCTGTCTCGAGGTTGGCCGAGAGGTTCGGTAAGGCGAGACGAGCCGAGAGACACAAGAGCGATGCTTCAGAGGTTTTTCACCTGCGCGCAGCGGGAAAAGCGGTGGGGCGTGCGCGTCGGTTCAGGCGGTGTGGTCGCTAACTAATGTGGAATCTCACCGCTGCTTGGCAATGGCGTGGCAAAAATACGTCGGTGCCGTGTGGGGGTTCAAGCGATGGAAGGGTTGAAGTTGTTGGTTTGGGCGCAGATATATACGCAGGTACTGCTCCCTATGTAAAAGGAAAAAAAAATCATGCGGCAAAAAATATAGCACAAAAATTACTCTTCTTTCAGGCCGGGCATTTGCAACCGGCCCCGTTTCCACATTGGACGCTGCCAAGTACGCAGGTACTGTTCCATATGTAAAGGGAAAAAAACAATCATGCGGCAAAATGTAATGCACAAAAACTGTCTCTTCGTTCAGCTGTTCATCATGTTCGTCGTCTACTCGTCTGCATTTGCAATCAGACCCGTTCCCACATTGGACGCTGCTGAGCCCAGTGGGATCACCACTTCGTGCGCCTCACACGCAGTCGCTCTCTTGCAAGGATACGGGGTCCTAGGCAGGTCATGCTCCGCGAGCTAGTATCATGCCTATGCACAGCAATAGACAGTAGAAAACCCGATATTTTATTGCTTTGAGCTGAGAAATAGTGCGTTCCTCGCATCTGAACTGACCCTATTTACTTCCTCGTGCTCCAGGAAACTTCTCCGGATCATGAGCAGGCGATGTTAGCTATACTCTAGAGATCCGCCTCGATAAATGTCTCCCACTTTCCGCCGACTACACAGCACGGCCGACAATCAAACGCGGAAGACATAATACAAGCACACCCTGCCATGTACATATGTGCAGGAGATAGGGGCAGCTATGCATTCCACGGCTAACCATGTCGTACCATACACCTATACACCATACCACAACATGGTGACACACCCGGCGATCATGTGGCGGCTCAACATAGGCCAATTGCGATCATGCCGCAGCTGGAAAACAAGCGCTCGCAGGTCGTTCATTGCTTTATTCCACAAGCCGTGTCAATCCATGGGGGTTTGGGCCTGGATAGGAGGAAGCTGACGTTGTAGTGCACATGGTTCACGCGCGGATCGCCGAATTGACGCATGAAACAGCGAGACTCTTGGTGTGCCGCAGCTTAGGTTGCATACGTAATATACCACCCCCTCCCCTTGGGCCGAATTTCGAACAATACCGCAGTCATGTACACGGCCGAGAGGATCCCGCTCACGAGTAAATGATACGTTTTCGGAACGCCCTTGATGAGGCGGGTCCAACGCTTCCATTATCGGCACCGTCGGTGGTTGCAGAGTAATCGGGCTTTGAAAATCGGCCCAGGGATGCTTTTTCAAGGTCTACAGCAGTAGGCAGCAGGAGGAGCGGGGGACAGCGCTTATCTACAACAGCAGTATGAAGGTGGTTGGACTAGTTCCAGCGGAACCACCCACCGCCGCATCATGACACAACCGGACCTACTGCCATCAACTCGTAACTACACACCTCTCGCTCACCCTTTGATACAACTGAACGTTGCCCTTCTGGCTTCCTGACTTCCCGCTGCCCTCGTGGTCTGGGTGTGCGGGTGTGTGGGGTACAACGAGAGATGGATGCCTTGGGCCACCGGAAACGGTTTCAACGGTTTCGTCTAAAACTCAGTTAAATCTGTATCCGTCGTGTTGCAAACACGCCAACGACACTACGACACTAGATACACACGAACAGTAAATCGGTGGTCGGCGAGGGTGCCGCACACAGAGAATTTGGGGTTGTGTGCTAGCAAGAAGTACTTGGCTTCACCACCGCGGAGCAGAGCAAGTAACGAAATGGTCGACAATGAAGGCCAAGCAAGAAGCTTTGCGACAACGTTATGCATACAACCAACGATTGTTCGTTTTTCTCATCGGTGGGAACAAAAGGATACTACGATACTGTGTGTGACGGGATGGTTGACTGAGCGAATGAAGGCACAAGCCAACGACTTGTTATGGCGGACTACTGCTGGTGACGCACCAGCAAATCCTACATGTAGTGCTATTCGCACGCCGCTTGATTCACGACTGACTGCTGGTTGGGTGTACAACATACTGGTACATGCGAAGCACGTACTGTAGAGACTAAATGGACATGTTCGCCTTACTTCGAACAACATTAGCTTATATCATAGAAGGAGTTATCGACATATTTTCTTCGACACCGTTACACCGAGAAATCGGAAAGCGAAAGACGCAGGGATTGTTTGAGTCGCTGACTGGCTTGTTGAATACGACCGTTACGGCGGCCGAGTACATTCCAGTTTCAACACGACGACAAGTTGAAAGTTGAGATTCCCTCCTATTGTGTATCTACGGCAACAATGCACGCTGTCCGTGCACGTGCATGCACATCGATTGATGTTCTCATCTACGTACATCGGTGGTGCAGGCACACCGCAGCAACAACGAGACAATGTGCTGCGCACACACAACACGTCAATGAAACGTCTCATTGTGACATTGTGCCCGATCCCATCAACGGCGGTACACACACTTGTTGTTTGGACATCATATCATTACACTTTTGCCTCCATTGATTGATGCACACTTTTCACTGTTCCATTTTATAATGTCTTTGTTTTCCATGGACGTTCCACTCACTCCCCTACCCACCTTCGGCTTGCGATTCGGGCCGCCCCCACCCTTTTTTGCCGTACATAGTCTAATCATTCAACTTTACAAGAGATGTGCTGCTGGTGGAGGTACCTCAGGCCTGAGGTCACCCTCCATCGACTGGAGACGAACACATTACACAAAGGGTTACATAGATCTGCTATTTATTTATCAGACAGATAAGATGTCAAACTCGTACCGGTATACGCAACACCAGCTTCTGAACACTGCTGCTGCTGCTGCTACGGCTGCTACGGCTGCTTCTGCGTTCGCGGCTGCGGCATTCCTACTTCATGTGCAGAAAAAGGTGCAACACAAAGAATGTTTTGACGCTGAGCAGGCCGACGGTTTCGACGTAAATGCTAGTCGTGTTCGTACGCAAGTAGGCACTCGGACATTGGGACCAAGTGATCGCGAATCCCTCCCTTGGTCGCAACAAGCACGTTCGATCCAAATATCAACAACACGGTGCGCTTCCAAACTCAGGCAAGCACGTCGCAATGGAAGCAAAGGCCTCCTTCGCTCCTACTCTCAAGTAACAAGAACGACAACAAATAAATTGCGATCAACATATCACTAAAGAGGGTAACGCAACGATGTTAAATAACACAGACAACTTGTGCACAATAACGCGGTCAACCCCCACGACCCGCATCATCTAGCAAGCAACAAGTAACTACATAGGTCCTGCCACTCTTTACGCGCAGATGTATGTGAAAAAAATGTTATCAACACTTGTGGTTGATGCTCCCAGCTGTGGTCTTCACTAGGATACTCGACTTAGTCTACCCCCATATTGATCACCTCGAACTCAATTAACTGCATCGCCAGTATTAAAACAATATGGAGAGACGCAGTTTGCGAACAAACACAAACGCTTGGGCCAATACCGCCCACGTGCAATGACCTGGTAACGCTATCACCCCCACCGCATATTTCGAAACAACCAAGAGTAGCATGACAGACGAACACACAAAACGTCATGTATGTGTCAAATACACAGGAGGACAAGACGGTAAAAAAAAGGAATCGTGCTTGCTTGCCAATATATGTAGATATACCACGGTTGTCGTTGTTGTTGTTTTTGTCTTCACGTTCAACCGTTCCGGTCTCCGTTCAGTACATTCTAATGTCCGTATAGCATAGTATAGTATAGTATAGTATAGTATAGTATAGTATAGTACTGGTACAACTGACGCGGACGCCTTCCGTGGTCACAAACCAACTACCCCTTCAAAGGGGGGGATACATCTTTCAAAAAAAAATGGACACAAGATAAAACTCCCCCAAGGCGCGATTTGTTTTTCTACCCGAACGAAAAGAACGCAAAAAAACAAGTAGACTACGGGGAAAAAGGCTAAAAAAAACTAGAATCCGCAGAACAACTCCTGCCGGCAAAACATAACTCCGAAAACAACTGCAGCAGAGTGGTCACTGACTGCTTCTCTCAGTCAGCCAGCCAGCCCGAGCAAGCTGAAGACACATTTTCCCACACAGCGTTTCGCGGGTTGCTTTGACGGAGGGAAGCGTGCGGTCGATCCGTCCAAAAGTCATGTTGGGGTATTGATGAACCGAACAATCTAGAATAAGGGCGCGCTTGTTGTTGCGGTGGGCTTGATCGCGTAACGGCCGCTACGCCGGGACTTGGAGGACAATTTACGATTCCCCGAGAGCCCAGACGCGTTGTGGCCGTGGCCGTCTTGAGACGAACGGTCTCCTCCGGCACGCTCATCGATGCTTCCCTCTCGAAGCACGCCGTACAGGACAAGCGTGTCGAACGAGATTTGCATGTACCTGAAGAGTCAAGACCAAATCTGTAGGAGCGGCCTACAGGGTAGTAATCATCAAGGGGGAAATGGGCCCGGCACATACACACAATCGGGTTGCGTTTTTAGCACGAGAATGACGAATTTTCATTGGTCAGCCGGTTACCACCGTCGGTGCGAAATAGTGAGACACACGCGCACACGACGACAGAACACGGTGGGGAGTGCCGGCAGAACCAGAGGCACCGTATTGGAGACTGGCGCTTCTAACGAAGCAGAAAAAGGCCTCCCGGTTGACGCGGGGCAAGACTGCTGACCACCTGAAAACAACGCCATCTAGGAATGTACGAACACGTTGTATGCGCAGCAATTTTACCCGCGACAAATAGCCGTTGGTTTACCGTTGGTTGAAGAGCTGCGCGTGCAGACAACCCTCGCGATGTAAGGTCGACACCGGACGCACCAAAACGAAGGAAAATACAACGTCGGGTAGATAACGGTTACGTCTCTCGCGTGTTCCC